CTGGAGGCAGGGTAAAATCTACAAGTACTGGAGGATACTGGAGGCAAGGTAAAACCTACACTACAGGACCGGGGGCGGCCTTTATTATTATTATTCTTATTATTTGTCCATCCCGTTCCTCCCCTGCAGGCACTACTATTATTTGAGACCGGGGACAAAAAATAAAAATAATAATAATAATGACCGTGAGGGCGGAGGGGGGAGAAAAAATAGTAATAAAGGTCCGCCGGGCTCCGTCCATTACTTGTTCGCATGCTTCCTGCGTGCACAGGAGGCCTCAGCGTTTCATCAGGCTCGGCACATCGCTGCTCCGTTCCTAGACGGAGCTCGAGCCAAGCTGTTGGAAGTCTCAAGTTTCGAGCTTTGCAGGGCTAAGCTCAAACAGCGGTGTTCCCGAACAGGCTTTCAGTGCAGGTGCCTATGTGCCACTAACAGCCGTGAACGTCTGAAAATTCTGACAGCACAAAAGCGACTGCGTTTTCACGGCGCGGTATCACTTCGCCACGCTGCCTTCTTCTCGTCCTGGAGCATTCACATGAGAATGAACTACGCAGTCAGCATCCTTCAGATGTCATATTATTCAGCATGTAGGATGCGGGGCTTGACCAGTCAGACTAATCGAGGGTCCGGTGTTCACTCTGAGGATGTCACAAGAAATCCAGCCTTTGAATTGATGCCTCATTGCTGACACTGGCTCCAAATCGGCTCGCTGATCAATCTAAGACTCAACGTCTTGGACTGTGGTGTCTTTGAACCGGTGCACTATCTGGTTTCTGTGATGACCTCTCCTCGTGCGACAAGGCGGCGAACTGCAGCGTCAGCAAAACGATCATCACAGCTACCAGCACCTGGGCACTTGCAACTTGCTCTTACAGGGTTAAGCTGGCATTGCGCAAATCGATGCTGGAAAGCAAGCATTGCGGTATGTCTCCGATGGCTGTAGTGCCTCTGCCAATGTCCAGGATCGTTTCCCACGGTACCATGTGACGCCGAAGAGGACCTCTGCAGCATGGGAATAATTAGTCCAAGTGATGCACAAGCAGCAGCACAAGGAACGAACCAAGGAAACCAGGACTCGTTGTCTGAAGCAACGCGAAGAGCAAGAATAGCGGCGGCACTGCGCATCAAGCGATGAGCCAGGCACCACCATAGTAAAGCATTTCACGACATACTTGTGGACCGAAGACAACCGTTTCACCTGCAAAGCTGTCCGTGTGTTTCAACTCTTGCAGTTCTCTACACAGATGTAGCTCTGATCAAGGTTGGCACCGGCCTACGGCTAAAGGAATCATCCATGTAGCTTCAACGACTGTTCTTTTACGAAGCTTCCATCAAGCGGCAGACCCTCCTGGTCGGCTGGATTGCTGGTTGCAGCGAAGCAGGTCACCACTACAGCGAAGCTAAACTCGCCGGCGCACCATTAAAGCAGTGATCCAGGTGTCGAGGACATGACTTCCTACCACCAATAGGATCGTCTGGTCCTTGCATGCCATCGGCGACCATGGCATTTCTGCAATGCAAGATAACAATCACACGTCAAATCCAGAGCATGCACTTGAGGATCAGGCCCATCCACTGAAAATGTTCCAAGAGAAGGAGGACTCATGTTGGAGTCCCAGCAGGAGGTTGTACCCAAAAAGGAACACGAGGGTGCAAATTATTTCTCCAATCCTGTCACCAGAGCTCAGACACTCAAAGTCTATCCGCAAGGCTGTGCAATGTACTGTGCATTTGTTTGTGCCTGCGCGCTTGCGTGACGGTGCGAGGGTGCATTTGCGTGCGCGAGTGTGCCCTCGAGCATGCATGTCTGTGTGTCTGTGTGCCTCACAGACTGTCTGTGTCTGTCTTTGTGTCTGTCTATGTGTCTGTCTCTGTGTCTGTCTC